TGGAACGTCCTGCCCAGCGCAGACACCACCTCTCCGGTGATGTACTGCTCACAGCTGTCACACTGGGTCCCGTAGAGGCGCTGGTAGTCCTGGGTGCAGATGTACTCTCCAGAGTGGTGGAAGAAACCCGAGTGGACCAGGTCACAACCGCATACTGACAAAACAAAACGAAGCAAAGAACACAAAAAATAAAATCAAGGTTTCAAACAGAGGGTAACTGCAAAATTTTAAATCATTTGACATGTAAAACATCAGGTTACTAAAATTGGAACAGAGGGATCTACGTCTGTAATCACTAAAAGAAAATAAAAATGAACCAACAACAGGAAGTGCTGTAAAATATCGTTATTGTGAAACTAAATATCGCGATATTTCAGTGCATCAATATTTTCTCCCACCATAGTTGGAAAACTTTAATTAATTTCTTAAAATCTTTGATTCCTCACCTGCAAAAAATTTGACTGAACCACAACAATGAATCTTTGTTTACAGCCTGTACAGGATGCAAACGCACACACACGTGTGCACGTACACGTGCACGTGCACAGCAGCAGCGCCCCCACCGTCCCTCTGTTTACACTCAGAACATGATGTATAGCTTCTATTTAGCAAATTCAAAGTCTTCCAGCCAAATGATTGCCTGTGTCCCAGCTGTGAGAGTTCTGCTGAGCTGGTCACACTCAGTCGAATTAAAGGGACGTCTGAGTCGCCGTTCGCCTCAGCTGTTAGTGAAGCACAGGGCTGGGGGAGTCGGGGTGGGGGGGGCTTCCTGTAAGCTCTATGACATGTTTTTGTTATAAAACTCATAACAGCAGCGACCAGTTTTTGTGGATCCAAAATAGTTTGACCAAAAGTGTTTCACACAACACTTGATTTGCGATGATGTCAGACTGACATCATCTTTGTCAAGTAACACTTCCTGTACACCGTCACCTTAAAAACCTCAGTCAGTGGCTGTGTGATACACGCTGACTCACTGCAGCGTCATAGAACCTTCACTGTACTGTGTCAGTTGTGTGAGTGAAGACATCTGAAAGTGAAAGTCAGCCAAGAAATCAAGATATCTGACAACCAACTGAATGAGTGGCCTCTGATTAGGCTAATGGATCTGATCTGGTCCAAAACAACACACACAAACACACACAGGCAGTTTGAATCCCTGTATTATTCAGCCATCATCCCTAAAAAGCCACAAAAAAAAATGTAGTGAAGATAAATATTTACAAATTTCTACCATTTTACTCTCTTAAATTAAAAAAAAACAAAAAAAATTTGTTCCTCAAATTCCAAAATTCTCAGAATAGATGGGATCTTTGCAACAATTTTGATCCTTCTGTTTTAGACATTTTTCACTAAAGCATTTTTTTTCTATTGCTACTACTCAGCTATGACCTTTGACCTCACATGTCTGACCCCCCGACCTTCTCTGGTTCCATCTGTTGGTCTGGATTCCAAAGGTTTTTCCACATTTAGTCCCGTCTCCCCCCCGGCTGAATCATCAGAAACCTCTCAGTTCCCGCGCGTGAAACCCCCGCAGCCTGACGGTGATTTAACCAAAGCCCGACTGATGAGCCCGCTCCAATAAAATATAAAACACGACTCCTTCGCAGACGTTTGAGTGTCAGTGTTTGTACTCGCAGATATAAAAATTTATCGCTCAGAATAAACACAGAACGATTTTTCGCCGGTCGTCTCACGAAACTCAATCGGACGGTTTTCAGATTTAATGACCAGTTTTACGGAGCTGTTCTTTTATGTGCAGCACAGGGGGAACTGCGTTCAGCCATGTTGCCGTACAACCAGAAAGGTCAAGGGTTTTAAATCTCAATCCCGACGAGGGCTAATAAAATCTTTGGCCCCGGCGCTCAGATCTAAGACGGTGCCATCGATCATCCAAGACAAAGATCACGCCGTATGTCATGTCACATTTAACGCTGCTGCTGGTTTATCCATGTAAACATGTGTGTGTGTGTGTGTGTGTGTGCAGCTTCCTGTGCATCACACAGATTGTGATTATTTCTTCCTGAGCTGCCAGTAAAGGCAGTAACAGCATTTTTACGAGCATCAATGACCATCAGGAGAGTCATCTGGGCTCCGCTCTGTCTCTGTGTGAAGACAGCAGTGGGACGGAGGAGGAGGAGGAGGACGAGGACGCCGCAGGAGTCCAGGGGAAGAAGCTGCAGCAACCTGTGTGACTTCTCCTCACTCCCTGAGATCTTTTCAATTCTGAGGGTTTTCTTTTCTTTAATGTATGTCCCTTTGGGTTTCTCCATTCAGGAAATTTTTGAAAAAACAGAAGTCAAATACTTCTGATAGAGAAATGTGCCAAATTATCCATTAAATTACATGTTTTGGTTCAGAAGAGACTAAACTACAACCCTCTGGCTGCAGAGATGTTGCCTGATTTTAAGAAAACAACACGGTGCCTTAGTCATCGCCCGGTCGTCCACGTTAATCTTCATTCTCACCTCTTAATGACATGAAATAGTCTCCGTTAATATCTGAGGAGTAACATGCTCCCTTTGGACCGCTGTCTGATTAATTTGTTATTTTCAGTTCAGTTTTTGCACAGGGCAAAACTTCCTCTGGCCTCCAGGGGTGGCTGTTCACGTAACCATGACTCGTTAAATCACCAAGAGCCTGGAAATAAACGGTAGAAGGTTTAAAAATATGGAAGAGAAGGAACAAACGTTCTAGAATCAGACTGAAGGAGTAAAATAATAAATACTGAAAAAAAACAAAACTCCAGCCCTGTGATGGACAGGAGACTCAATGACTACTGCCCCCAGTGGCCGTCAAACGATTAAGCAGTTGAACATAAAAGAACGATGAAGTCCAAACTCAGTTGGATTTCATTTTTGATAAAACACTAGACGACGTTGATAAGAAACAAATTCTTGGGTGAAAGGATTTTTGCAAATTCGATGTATTTGAAGCGGCCGCCCTTGAGACAAACGTCTAAACATTCCATTGAAAAGAAAAGAAGAATCTCATGAAGCAAATATCGACAAAGGGAAAAAAAGAAAGTGTTTTTTAGTCCTGTGTTTTTTCCGTGGCTGTCAGTTCTTTTTTTTTCTCTGTGTGATCATTTCTTTTCTCCATCCTCCCACTTTTCCACTCCTCACCCACCACAGAGGGCAAGTTCATCTGCGGTTCATCTGAGGATGTGAAGTATTTAAATGCTTTGCTTCTGTTAACATTGATTTGTAGCCCTTTTAGATTGAAGTGCTTGAGGTCTGGACACACACACACACACACACACACACACACACTGTATACATAAACGCAAACATTTGGCAGCGAGAAGGCAGATAATGAATCTTTTGTTCAGCGCCAAAGGCTGAGGCCACGGTTTGGAGGCGACGCAGGAGAGAAGCAAAGAGAAGAAGAGAGCGTGATGTAAACCAAGACGGGAGTCTGAAACACCACCTCCTGGAGGCCTGACGCAGGCGGTGTGCGTTTGAGTCCGAGGCGCCTGATACACAGTAACAGGAAGGAGCAGAGGCACGAAGACGAGGAGGTGTTTACAGCTGCAGCGCTCGTCCTTCAAGTGTCTTCTGGAGAAAAACGCTGGACCATACATGGCTCTCTGTGCAGCTGCCCTGCACTTCTGCTGATAAATGACACACACACTGGCAGGGTCTCAGATCCCCCCCCGGCCCCCATGCGGTACTTTAAACTGTGGAATAAAATTTTTAATTTAATTAAGGTTTATTTTGGGGATGTACCTAAATTTAATAGATCATACAGTTTTACTAAAGGATAAAGCTTTAAACCTTGGGTTGTCAACTTTTTTTTTTTTGCAAATCCAGATTATGTAGATCAGGATGGTTTTTTAGTAGCCAGCAGGGGGCACTATCAAAAACTCTCTGTCTCCAGCAACCAAATGCCATAAACTATGATTGACATGGAACCTAAAACAACTGAATCTTTATAATTTAAGCAAAGTTAAAAAAAATGTCCTTAAGTCAAATCTATTTTATTGGTTTATCTGAAATCAAGATATAAAAGAGCTACGCTATCTGGCTAGCTGTCAATCAAATCATGAAGTGTGATGAGAGATAATAAATAAAAAACATTTTAAGACATATTTTGATCATGATCAAAAACAGCATGGCTGCAGGTTCTTCTGATGCTCCGTTGAGTTCCATGGTTTTTTTTGTCTCATTTTCTACTGGTTATGGAAATGATTCTCCACCAAATTCACAGCCTGGAGGTCAGAGTTATAATGCACACGGCTCAGTTTTCTCGCGGAAAAACATGGCAGGGGAGACGGCAGACGAGAGACGGGGATTATGTTGGAGAGGAGGCGCAGGGAGAGGAGAAGAAAGACAACACGAGTGTCCAGGGACAGATTAGAGGAGGCTCAACACGGGGGGAGCAGCACGCGTGTGTGTGTGAGGAGAAAGGGGAGCAGACCGCAGAGTGAAGGTGGTGAGGAGGATGGAGGAGGGGGGGGGCAGGGAGACCCAGGGGAGGTATCAATGAGAGGATCGATCCGTGCGTCCAGCACACGTCTGCCGTCCTGTCACTGTCTGTCCAGGTTGATTTGAGGGATCGAGCTGCGATGGATTTGCAGCTTCATCTTGGTTGCATTTGCATGAACGTGAACAAGAGGGGGGAGAGGGGTGTGTCGGAGGGGGGTGGGTCCAACAGAACGATTCGACCAGAGCAGTTCTGACGCCTCGTGTTTATTTGACTTCAACGTTACCGAAAGGAATTTAAATGATTGATTTGAGTCGTTTCTTTCATCCAGTGATTAAGAATTATAGATATCTTAGGGCTATGAAATAATAAAACAAATATGTTGATATGTGTTAGCTGATAAATTTAAAAATCCAAAGGTGCAGTATTTAAGACGAGCAGGCAGCAGAACACTGGTCCACCAACCACCAACAGGAGAGAGACGCCAAAACAACGACGCCTCTGTTATAAAAGATAATGGTTTAGATTCTCGTCTACAGCGCCACCTGATGTCCAGTAATTCCCTCGGCACAAACTCATCAAGCTTCCTCGGCCGAACCATAAATACTTTATTAACCAACGAAGAAGATTTGTGCCGCTTCATCTGGACCAGGTCCGTTCTTCAGGACTCAGATGGACAGCCTTTATCAACACAGGTCTTTTTTTAAAAAAAAAGGTCTCGTTCTCTGAGCGGACTTGGAGACTGCGTTGCATTCAGGCGATGTCCCCGACAGATCAGGGCTGGGTGTTATCTCCACGATCGCTCTGAGAGCCTCTGATGTAAAAGGAGGTTAGCAGGCTGGAGTCAGACCAGCAGCTGAAAAACCTGCTGACTGCACCGCTACGGCTAGCTGCTGACTCTGGACGTCTGTGTGTGTGTCTGTGTGTGTGTCTGTGCTCCGTCCCACCTGCTCTCCGGTGGAGCGTGAACATGTGAAGACACTCAACCAGAAGGAACACACGTGAATATTGAAGAGGGTAAAAAAAAAAAAACGTCACCAAGAGATGAAAAACCTAAAACGGCGCTCGTATTCTTCAGATACAAACAGTTCTTTAGTTAAAAACTAACCAGCGGTTTGTTGGATTAGAACAAGACATGCCTTTGAAGACCAAAGTAGAGACCAAAGTCATTTTCTCACTGCAGTAATATTCATGTCTCCTTCTGTAAATGGTGACATTTTTGTCTAGTTATCAAATGCACTCAGTGATGAACTTTGATCGTGGCTTTAACATAGATTTTTCATTTTTTCGTCGGGGCTCTTTTCCTCTCAGACATATTAAGTATTTATGTATGTGGGTTATGTAAGAAAATATCGTTACATCTTGTTGTATCAATATTCTACAGCACTTTAATTAACGATCAACATGTAAATATCTGTTTTTATTTTGCCTAGATCCCTCTGTTAGTAACCTGATGTTAAGATGGAACAGCATCGTGTGTCAACTACGATGACACTTTTCTATTGTCCTGCCTGTAGTATCGTGGTATATCTCTATAGATATCGTATCGTTGCACCTGTATCGTGATACATATCGTATCACCAGATTCTTGCCAATACACGCCGCTAATACGAGTGAAGAAAAACGCTAAGAAAGATGATGCTGATGACCATTAAACTGAAGCATATTTAGCTGTAGGGTTTTTTTTTTTTTTTTTACCTTGACAGGTGAAACAGTGCACATGGAAGTGTGTGTTCTTGACACGTACAACCTCCCCGCGACACACCTCCCCACAGCGCTCACACACTATGGGAGAGTTCCCACGGCTGGAGAGAGGAGAGCTGCTGCTGCTGCTCCTGCTGTGGTTGTTGTTTCCTTCATAAAGACCAGACTGGTACTGAACTGGAGAGAGGAGAGAAGAAAGAAGAAGAAGAAGAGATGTCTTTGTCACGTTCACTTTTCTTAAACGTCTGATCAAAGCCAGATAAGAAAATGTGGCGGCGCTACTTTAAAAGACGAAAGACGTGACACTACAGAGACACGTCAGGCTTTAATGGATAATACACGTGAAAAATCATGAAAAAACAGAATTAGGCAAGTATTTTGAAGACGGAATATTTCTAGAGCATTTTTTTTTTTTTGGTCCGTAAACACAGGATACAGAAATGAAACACGTCTGCAGACACACAGACTCACGCATGATCACATTCACACTCGACTCAAGGTTTAGAGGAGATGAAGACAGATTACTGGAGTAATTGACTTAGAAACTACTGGAGTGTTTCCTGTAAAGCCTGTCAGTGTGTAGTACGTCCATTCATTCAGAGTAAGACGCAGACGCAGACACAGACATGGACACAGACACGGACGGGGCGAAATTTCAGGAAATATATTCAGGTTATGTCACTGTAGAATCTGACCTTGACCGTGAGATACTGGAGATTTGATGCTAATTACTTCTTGCTACATTGATCTGTTATCAGTCTGTGCTCGTCCCACAGAACAGTGTTCCGTCTACAATGTTACTGTGGTTGATGATGAGGCAGAACATGAGTGACAGAACCAGAGGACGGGGATGGACAGAAAGGGCACATCAAGGCTGTGGGGGGATTAAACCCCAGCCATCCTCACTTATGGAACTGGTCTAATCCCTCTTAGTAAAACAAGAGGACGGGGCGTGTCTGACACACACACAGACACACAGACACACACACACATGCAGAGGGGGAAAAAAAGGAGACAGAAAAAACATGGTTTTCATGGACAAGTCACATTGACTGCCCCCTGTTTCTGACCTCAGTCATTACAACACAGGAAAAAATGTGCATGTCCAAATGAAGATGTCCTCACTGGTGTCCTCACAAAGACACATTAACGAGTACACTCTCCCCCTCTCTTTTTTATCTCCCATCTCTGCCCTCACCTCACTCATATCTCCATCTTACCCCTGAAGTTGACAGCTGCACACTCTGAGTCGGAGTCTTTTTTAAATAAGATTGTGAATCAACAGTTCACTAAATGTTATTGATATCCTGGATCTTTATATCGACTAAATCACCTCATTGGTTTAGTGGGACTTCTGGTCCAATCAAAACAGAATATGCTACATTTGCTAAGCTGCTAAGTATAGTTGCACTTGTCATGTATATATTTGAACACATTGGTTTTAAAAATTAAAAAAAAAAAGAAACTCCAAATGGAAACAAGTACTAGAGAAGAGACATTTCACTGAATCATCTGATTGGACGCCACAGATGCCTGTGTTGACTCACTAACAGAAACCTAGTGGTTTTCTCTGGGATTCTACACCTTCTAAAAGGCCTGTTTTAACACAGTATTTTAGCATCACAGCAAAAAAAAAAAAAAAAACCAACACGCTGGCGGGTTAAGCTGATGACAGCGGGAGAGAGAGACAGAACCTTTAACTGCAGGAGTGAAAAAAAAAAGGTAGGACAAACATGCTTCTTAAAAAATGAAATCGCCACTATGTGTGTGTATGTGTGTGTGTGTGTGTGTGTGTACGTCACGGAATCTGGCATTGGTTCTGCAGCCAGATGGCTTCACAAGACTGTGGAAGCACAGACAGAGAAAAATCTGAGCCACCTGTGTGTGTTTGTGTGTGTGTGGGGAGGGTGGGCGGGGAGGGGGAGTGGGTGAGAGAGTGAGAGAGAGAGAGAGAGAATGAGTAGGAGGGGTACTGTTATATTTTTAGTCTTGTTAAGTCACTTAAGATATTTCTTCACCTTCCTACTGTAGTTAGATTTTATCAGTGTAAAATGTGTACAACTGCTGCAAAACTGCACAAAATTAAAGTTATTTTATGTTGTCATATTTATAATAATATGATACATAAATAATAAAGTGTACATTATTTTTTTATCCTCCTACTGACAGTCATGGTTTACTTTACTACAGCATCATGATTTCCCAACTTTTTAAATTCTGCCTATCAGTGTTTGTACAGTAAGAGAAGAGGCTAAATATTTTTTTTTTTACACATTTGCAGATTTTTATCTTCATACTGTATATCTCAATGACTCAAGTAAAAAAAAGAGTTTAGTTAAGAAAATAAACATTTCTAAGAAGAAGAGTTTAGCTACAAAGCTAGCTATTTTATTTAATGGTAACGGTCTTACATAGATAACACCTAGAATAATTTGAGTTTTGTTTAATTTTTTCAAGTTCTCGGATGCTTCCATGTGTGATTTGTCGGATTTTCCATATAATAATATAATT